AGAACGGAACGAAACGAAAGCTCCACTCGGACTGGGACGGAGCGAAACGGAACGATTAGGGTAGAGAGGATTTAACATGGAACGAAGCAGAACGAAACGAAAAAAACAGTCTGCGACGGAAACGGAACGAATTGAATCTTGAGAACGAAATGAAATGAAAACGCGAATGAAATGGAATGAAAACGGAATGAAAACGCAAAATCTGTCAACTGAAACGCTGACACCCCTGTATGAACTATGCTAGAGGTGACAGTAAGGTTAAAAACAAAGTTTACAAATCCTGTAATGATTTCTTGCTTAGGTTCAGAGAAGGCCAACTTGTTAAAGTGGCTATCCCGATGGGGAAAAAATTCAAAGACTTTGTCGCAGAGGTAAATGAGTTGCAGTTGATTTCGTTGTTTAACTGTTTTCACATTATATTACTAACATGTTTTGTGTGTAGGTCTGTTTCAGTTTTAAACACATGGAGCAGGGATTTTCTTTGCCTTTTTTACAATAATTATAATTCGTACACATTTACACTTCCCATAGGACTGCCTATATTTAGTAAAAATTCATCTCTTTCCCAACTGTAGAAACTGGAACAGACCTAAGTTACTTAAATGCCCTTTAGTGCGAGTTATATTTGTGAATATAGCACCAGGATGCAAATGGTTCATTTCCTGAATAATGTAAAATGGAACTACACCAAGAATTATCAATCAACTGCAAGCATTACTCATTCATTGTTAAATAAAAACCATGAAAATGTATTGCTGCAGAATATGGTGCGACCTTGTTGATGCCTTTGAAAATATTAAAATCAGTGTAAGGTAATCAATTTGTCATTGTGCAAGATGTGTCAAAAGTGAAGCTTAATGTAATCAACGCCCATGTAATCATGCATAATCAGATAATTTTTGCCATTTAATTTTTGTATGCAGATTTTTAATCTCAGTCCCATATGAAGGTTCATATTATCTGGATGTCTTCAATTGCTGCTGATCTTTTTAGACACAGCTTTTAAAGTGCATACATTATACATTTTCAGATTGTACAGCTGGATGGAGACGAGGTCCTACTCAAGTATATGTGTTCAAAGAAAAACATGTTTTATTGGCCAAAGAGGATAGAGGAAAGTTGGGAGCATGTGAGCTCCATCAAAATGGTGATGCCTGTACCACAATGTTCGTTCAAAGGAAATCAGTATTATTTTGAATAAAAGCTGACATTGTCACAACATTCACATTGTCTTTTTTACTATTTCGTGAAGTGTCAGATTCTCCATGAGAAAAGTCCATAACAGAACGACAACAAAAAATTCTCAACTATTCTGTGTAGGTGGTGAGACTAAATCCACACTTTCAATATTTAATGTGTAATGGGGTCCTTGATAAAATGCCTCCCACCCCTCATACACATGCTTAATGGTGGAACTATCTAACTCATGTCTCTGCTTCTGTTCCACTTTAGTTGTCATTGTATCATCAATTTTGATGAAGTGTTGAGACCCAGGTCAGTTAACATGTTCCTCTGCTTTAATGCTAACCCTAAGACACACCTCAAATCTTGTAAAAATCAATTGTTAAAGTCAATTAATTTAACTTGGGCTTTAAGCTGATGCCATTTGCCTAGTTCCTTAAGCGTTACAGTAAAATATTTATGCAATAAAATGCAGATGTGAGGTGTGTTTCGTCCTATTGGAGTTACGGGCCCATACAGTGCATGTAGGACTCTTCAGTTAGGCAAGCATTATCAAATTGAGCCAACATGTCAATTTTAACTAAACCCGAAACAACAGGTGGTTAGTAAAACTTTTGAATAAACAAAGCCTGCAACATGTTTCAACAATTGGACAATAGGCAGTCTGAAATTAAAAGGTAGTGAATTACTTTAAAGAATTACAATTCCAATATAAAATGGTGTTTTATTATATGGTTCGAGTCTTATAAGTAACAAGTCAGATTTATTTTATTTTTTGTGTCCATGTTACATACAACTAAATTTACGAATGATGAATTACTATGTGGTAGAAAAGTGAAAATATATTTAGTGGTAAGGAAAATTTGACTCATGCCTCATGTATCATAAAATTTCTCCTTCCTTGAAAACTGCATTTCATTTGGTGCAAGGAATGGAGTGTATACAGTTGTATGTAACATTGACACGAAAAAAATGCAAAGCAACAAGAAAAAACCCACTGAAAAAGTGAAGATGAAAATGTCTAAATAAAACTTTATACAAGGTATTGGGTAACTTGGTTCTATAGGCAAACATAAGATTTTCATTAATTACTGATTGAGAAAGTATAATTTAGGTTTGGATATGTTGTCCATGTTACATGCACCAAATTCATTAAATGTCTGTCCGACAAGATTGGCGTTGAATTTATTTCTATATTTTTTCTTTATTCGGTAAACGCATAACTTCAGCAATGCAAAAATGTTAAATTGAAGTCCTGGGACAATTTTTTATTATTATTCCTCAATGTCACACTATATTCTGAAATACTGAATTCTTGCCCATGGGCAAGAATTCGGTATTTGAGATTATGGTGTCCATTTGATAAATGTTGTTATATTTTGATATTTAGAGCATTTACATGGACTATTCAACGTTTTACAAAGTTACAAGAGTGTTTTCTCAATGATTGAAACAAAATAAATCTACCATATAGTTATTGAGAATTTCAATATCTGTAATAAATGTATGGATTTACCTAAAAACTGCCAATAAAAGCGTGACATTTTAGCACACTGCGTGTATATCGATTGTGTTTAATATGTGTGTCGCGTTATTGAAGATTTTTTTTGATTTTTTAGGACGAGAAAATGTCTCTATTTTTCAAAAATCGCTGTTTCATGCAAGTGATACATACTGCTTTTTTATAAAAGCAAATGCAAAAACACTTGTTGCACGTAACATTTCGTGTCAACACTGTTACGTGCACCAAACTGCAAGCTGAAATAGTCGCGAATAACCATTAAGTAAGCGAGAATGACGTAATCTTATCGCCGTGTGCATAGGTTCACACTGAATGTCGTAAATTTTGAATCTACGGCAACTCTTCAAAAATACACAGAACTTAAATCATGTGTAAGCTTTCGCGTCAATATAAGTAAAATGGGCTAAAACTTTTAAAACATCTCATTTTTTAAATTCTTGATCGAAATTTGATATCGTTAAAATGATTAGGATTTACGACATCACTACATCACTTACGGACCGGATGTATGGTATTTGCGAGAACATGGCGGGTACAGGAGAGGAGGACCTACCGGTCAAGGTTTGTTTTCCAAGATTTCCAAAATGGTTACGTGCACTTATCAGCTAAAACTAGGCCCCTTTCGTTAGTAAAACCCCAAATTTCAAAGTTTCGCTATAGAGATATCTCGATGACTCAAAATGAATAAAAATGAGATGTTACGACCGCTGAATTGGTACAATTTGAGTACACATAATTTTGCAGGTAACATTGACACCAGGAACCGTGTCAGTGTTCATATGTCAATGTTACGTGCATCTAATGTTGTAGGAATACTTTCGTGATAGCTAATCGTTATATGATGACAATTTATAGGGAAACGTCCAATGATGTACAGGTTGTTGTTTTTTTAAAGATTTGTTTATGGATTTTTTGTTTTTCACCTGAAAAGCAAGATAATAGGTGCACGTAACAATGACCTGAATTGTAGTTGATCAATTTTGGTATTTTGTGTCAATGTTATGTAACAGCAACCTTTTTGTCTTGTACATTTATTCTACCCTCCAAGAAAACAAAATCAGTATAATAAGTTTTTATATTTAATATGACGGTAATATCACACTACAATTTGATTCAGTTGAGCAGGATTTTTGATTTTGCACATTGGCACATGTATGTAACATTGACAAAATCGATTTGATGTCAAGATTTCAATGTTACATACATATTCAATATGAAGAAAATGGCCTTGATGCAGTCAAATTTTAGTGAAATGAATAGTTCATTTTCTATTTCAGTGTCTTGCTGTCCTTATAATTTCAATAAGTAACTTTCATCATAAATTGTATCTGTTAATTTGCTGAACATGTAGTGTACATAACATTGACAACATGGAATTGTTTCCCCGGCATCAGTCTTTTGTGTCAACGTTATGTACATCCAATGGCACCTTAGATCCAGTCTCCTTTATGCGTCAAAACAAATAAACTATACTACAAAAGTTTCCATCTTTAATGTAGAATAATTGTTTTAATGCTGTCTTATTTATTTAGGCATAATTTTTAATTAACCCTGTAGAAGCATGCAGGTAACCTTGACACAATTTATTTTTGTGTCAAACATCCACGTTACATACATTTTCAATATCAAGAAAATGGCCTTGATGCTGTCAAATTCCTAAATTTCCATCATTATAGCCTTTTGTTGTCCTTATAATTTTTCAAAGTATCTTTCATCATAAATTGTATCTGTTAATTTGCTGTACATGTAGTGTACATAACATTGACAACATAGAATTATTTCCCCGGCATCAGTCTTTTGTGTCAACGTTATGTACATCTAATGACACCTTAGATCCAGTCTCCTTTATGCGTCAAAACAAATAAACTATACTACAAAAGTTTCCATCTTTAATGTAGAATGATTGTTTTAATGCTGTCTTATTTATTTAGGCATAATTTTTAATTAACCATGTAGAAGCATGCAGGTAACCTTGATACAATTTATTTTTGTGTCAAACATCCACGTTACATACATTTTCAATATCAAGAAAATGGCCTTGATGCTGTCAAATTCCTAAATTTTCATCATTATAGCCTTTTGTTGTCCTTATAATTTTTCAAAGTATCTTTCATCATAAATTGTATCTGTTAATTTGCTGTACATGTAGTGTACATAACATTGACAACATAGAATTATTTCCCCGGCATCAGTATTTTGTGTCAACGTTATGTACATCCAATGACACCTTAGATCCAGTCTCCTTTATGCGTCAAAACAGATAAACTATACTACAAAAGTTTCCATCTTTAATGTAGAATAATTGTTTTAATGCTGTCTTATTTATTTAGGCATAATTTTCAATTAACCATGTAGAAGCATGCAGGTAACCTTGACACAATTTTTTTTTGTGTCAAGGTTTCATGTTACGTACATTTTGGGTATTGAGAAACTGGTCTTTACTGCAATAGTAGGAGTTGTTTTTCCACTTACATTGTCTGAATGTTTTACTTCAACAACCCAACTTTAATTTCAAACCTAAATATTTTCAATACAGTGTTTATGTGGTGTACATAACATTGAAAACATCTATTTTTAGTCACCCCTTGGGACTATTAATTTTGGTTTCAGTCCCAGATTTTGACCTCTGTTAGGAGGGCTGTTGTGTATCTTGCTTCTGTCGGAATATACCAGGCGCTAATTACAAGCTCTTGGATAACACAGATATTGAATTCCTTATTAAACAGGAATAGCATAAAACCTAAAGGCGTTCCAAATTCCCGACGGGAATTACATATAACCTAAAGATGTTCCGAGTATGAATCAGGCACCTTTGAGGTTACCGAAGGGTTAAACTGTCGTATTATAAATTGCTATTGACTGATTTAGATATTTTATGTCTGACCAACCACTACCGTTAATATATAGTGCACACTTTTTTAAGGGGAAAATGAAGTGTCAAGAAAGGGGTGTACACGGTACTCAAGAACAATCCAAAACCAGCCCTTGGTCAGGACCATTTCTTGTAAATTTTTCGAGGATTTTAAGTCATATAATACTATTGAATCGGATAAATAAACTCGAGTAAAGTAGGCTCAACTTTTCAGGACGTTTCGTTGTGAATTGATAAATACCATGTAATGGGAAACATAACGAAGAATTGCATCAGATTTATTACTCTGTGGTTAAAATGTCGTTCTTGGGTAAAATCTTGCTGAACTCTTCAATCTTGTCTGTAGGAATGTGTCAAAACGACACGGGTAAAGTGGCGAAGTTAGCAAGTTTGTGTACCGCAAAGAGTCGAAGTTGCGTGATACTATTAACCGGCAAATCAAATTACAAATTTTATCTTGCAGGAAGATGATTCTTCTGAAGACGGTCCTTCTGGAACACTATGTAAGTATTTTGTGTAACATCTGACCTCGTGTATAGTGACCAGACATGCCACAGATATTAATTGTGACCATGAGCAGGCTGTATGTGCTATGTAATGGTCATTCATGCGTTCATAACTCTGCACCATTTCCATCAAAGGGGGAGTAGGGGCATGTCTATGTTTCACAAGCATGTTCTAGTTTTACCAAGTAATATTACAGCTAGCATATTGTGATACTTATATATTAATTATCAATCAGTGTAACAAGTGTATCATCCAAGCCCTATCGGACACATATATGATGCTGAAGTCCATCACTCTTCCATATCATTCAGTCTCATCCCCATGGTATTGATTTTTTTTTATTCTTCATCACATTAAAATCTTGTTTAGTTCCCTTCATTAGTTCATAAAACTTCATCTCATCTCTGATCAAAACCTGATACATTTTTCTAGGTCTAACAGATATCAGTTTTATATTCAAACTGAACTTTGTGTACAGAATATTTTGAATACAGGATCATTTTGTGATTATGGATGGAAAAATGGAGTATACCACAGATTAACTTAGCTTTATTTGTTTTTCAGGTTCATTGAATCTGAGGAAGAAGCGTAAAAGTATTGTCCAATTAGATGAAGAAAATGCAGGGCTTGAGCAACCATCTGTCGGGAAAGCACGGTATGCAGCAAAACTGCAAAAACTTTCCCAAACAGGAAAACTGGAACATCACAGGGCACAAGAGTCCCTAAGACACAAAATGTACATAGCCTCCTTATCAGAAGATAGGAAAATTAAATCAAATGCTGCAACAAGAGAGCGGATGAGAAGGTATCGAGAAAGACTTATAGAAAAACAGAAAACTAAACAATGTTCCAATTCAAAAGTCTTAACACGTAAGGAGAAAAAAATAGAGGAGGAATCTCAAAAAAAGAAAAGGGAATACTGGAGAGGGTAGAAAAGAGAATCACGTTTAAAGGAATCCTCTGCTAAAAAAAGAAAATTTAGTTTGCAGAGACGACAGGCATACACAGAAAAGAAAGAGAAAATACAAAACGCTAGAAAACAACTATTTAGAGAAAATGATGATTACAAATCAACAGCATCACTTAGAAAAGCTGTCCATAGATGTTCCCAGAAATTACCTAGAACTCCAATGAAATGGCTAAAAGTTGTTGGAGGTATCCTGAAAAGGGCCACTCCGAAGAAAAAGAAGTTGCTTCATACAAGTGGAATTGCTACTGCCTGCAGCCCCATAAGCGAAGGAAAAATGAAAGCAGAAAAGGCAATTACTGAAGGTGTGAAAACTTTTCTGAAATCAAAATGTATGAAACAAAAAGTTGCAAGAGACAATTTGATCTCTTCAATGATAAAACATGCCAAAAGGACTTCATGTCGATCTGACTTACGAAAGACGCTTGGTATTCAATGGAAAACCTTAATCAGGACATCATACATCAAGGAAGAGGAGGTAGAAAGAAAAAGAAGAAGTGACGCATTCAACCAAGACGTTAACACTATTGAAAATTTCTACAAAAATCCTAACATCTCTGTAGAAATTCCAAACAGAAAGTCTGTGTCCAAAAAGAGTTTAATTTCCCGGTCAGTTTTATCTAAAACAACAAAACAAGCTCACAAAATCTACTGTGAAGAAGGAACAAGGTCGATCAGTCTTGACAAATTCCGCAAACTTAGACCAAAAAATGTCTTGACAGCCAACAAAACTCAACTTCGTCAGTGTTTGTGCGAGTACTGTACAAATGTGGAAATGAAAATTAAAGCATTGTCACCATTCATGAGCTACAAAAATATCTATGATATAGTGGGTGAAAGTCTTTGTCCAAAAGAAGGGAAATATCATCACATGCCATGTCTAAACAGGAATTGTGAAAAATGTTGCCTTGGTACCTTAAGAAAGAAATTATACTGCAGCAACGACACAACAGTCACATTGGAGTGTTGGGAAAACCGACAAATTCAATGTGGAAGTAAAGTTCAAACGAAAATATAATTGATTCCAAAAAATGGTACAGTTCAAGAAATGGTAGAAGAATTGGTGAGTGAGATTGGACCTTTGGCCATGCACCTGTTTGTCGCCTCGTGGCAATATTCGCAGTTCGTGGAAATCAGAACAAATATGCCTAATGGTTGGATTGTTTTGACAGCAGACTTTGCTGAAAACTATAGAACATTCTATCAGGATGAAATCCAGTCTGCTCACTGGCAGTATCAGCAAGTAACTGTCCATACAACAGTTGCCTATTACAGATGCCCACCTAGGAACTGCAAGGATGTTGTGACTGAGAGCATGGTGTGCTTTTCGGAAGATCTCAAACATGATGCATCATCAGTGCATGCATATTTGATGACCCTAGATGAACATTTGTCAAAATCTGTGGAAATTGTACATCAAGTTCAATTTACTGATGGATGTAGTTGTCAATATAAATCAAAAGAACCATTTATGGTCATCACTTCTGATGACTATGACTTCACAGTGGAAATAAAAAATTTCGGATCCAGACATGGTAAGGGTCCATGTGATGGGTTGGGAGCTGTAGTTAAGCAGGCTACAAAAAGAGCAGTAGAAAGGAGAGAAGTAATAGTCCGCACAGCCAGAGACATGTACAACTACTGTGTCAAAAATCTTACACTGGATGAAAGCCACGTTGACAAGGATAAATGTTGTCATACATTGCGAGCATTCTTTCTGGTGTTTGACATCAAAAGGAATAGGCTGAAATTCCCACTGTATACTTTGGCTAGAAAGATACATTGTGTAAGAGGAGTCCAGTCTGGTGTTGTTGAAGTGAAAAACCTGTCTTGCTTTTTGCAGGGTTTGTGTAGGAGGAAATAACGCTACTTCTCGATGTGAAAATGAAATGGCCTCCATTGTAGAACCTTTCAGACAACATGATTTGGTTACCAAGAGGTTACCTACAACTGCCAACAATTCTAGTCAGGATTTGCCAGATCTTAGTCAAAGTTATTCAAGTGATGTAGAACTGTTCGAGGTGGAAGAAATGAAGAAGAACAATCCAGATGTGACAACAAGAAATGCAAATAAAAAAAAAGAGGAGACCTACTAAGAAAGTCCAGAAGCCTAAAGTAAAGACTGACCAAGTGCAAAACAATGCAGTTACAAAGAAACGAGTACGAAGCAGTGCCCGCATAGCAGCTGGTACAAGAAAGGAAATACAAACTGTCAACCCGAAGGCAAGAACAAGTAAAGGAATGCAGAACTGTGTTGATACAGAGGTGCATGTTACAGGACAGACTAACAGAGCACCTGTACCTTCGATAAACAGATCAAAGTATTTCATGGAAATACTGAAAAGACTTCAAAGTTGTAAAGACTTTGAAGAGCTAGCTGCTGTGTCTGTTCAGTGCAAGCAAGATGTTGCTCATAATGAAATCAAAGGGAAACCCACAGATTTATACATCATGCAAGGCTACAAAGTAGACGAAACCTCAATGGATTTAGCTCCTAGTGATGTGATGGGTGCTATCAAGTTTCCTGTAACAGTTAAAGGTGATGGAAATTGTCTTCCTCGATGTGGAAGCTTAGTTGCCTTTGGAAATGAAGAACACCCTGAAATACGAGCCAGAATAGTGATGGAACTGGCCCTCACTGAGACGACCTACCTGGATAATAACTACCTTAGGCAAGGAACAAATTTGAAAGAGCATCTCCCAGAATTATATGCCATGTACAGTGATCTGTACCTACCAGGTGTTCATCTGACAGACAACATTGTAAGGGAAATTTACAAGTTGGAAGTGTTCAAGTGTGTGAATCTTGGCCGCTATATGGGAATATGGCAAATACATGCATTAGCTAATGTTTTAGAATGTCCTATATTGTCATGCTATCCAGACCAAGCTTGCGAAACACTCTTCATAGGATTGTATTGCCGTCAATTTATGAGAAACCTATAACCCCAGCACATGTTTTCTGGACTACAACTCGGACTGACATGACAAGGGTTAACTGGACCCCAAATCACTTTGTTCTATTGTTGGAAATTGACAGATTGGACATGATAGCTGATGCTCCCACACCCGAACCACCACAGGATACAAATGTAGTTCCTCCGCCACCACAGCAGGCAAATACAGTTCCACCGCCACCACAAGAGGCAACTGCAGTTCCTACGCCACCACCGGTGATGAGGACAACTCTCGAGTCATCACAGGAGACGTTGGTGAGTAATAGTTCATACTAATTTGTGCAATCATAGTTATGTTTTTAAATAATATATAGCATTGATAGAATATAATACAAGACTGAAAATGAGATATCATGAAATACACCATCAGATGTGTTGGTATTGATTTTAGTATAATTTGATATTGTTTCTCCCCAGGCATCATCAATGATGGATGAAACCTCTTTTCAGGCATTGGAGGAGATGGACGTAACCCCTGAGCCACAACAACAGAAAGAGAGACTTGTGAGTATTAATTCAGAATAGTTTACATTTGCTCTACATTCCCCCATTGCAATGCATAGAGAATGCAATACGTGTTGTTACATTATATAGCTATAACACCATTTGGTCATGTGAACTGTACTCAGTAAGTTGTGATAATCTGCTTTCCGTGTTCCTAGAACTTCACAAAATGATGTTAAGAAAGTGAAAAATCTAAATAAAATATAACTACTCTGAATGTTTTAACAAACTATGTTATGGTGCTATAAAATGTGTGTTACATAGGACCATAACACTATTACATTAATTGATTGAATAATATGACAATTACAAATGAGACATCATAAAAGACAGGATCTGAGGTACTGGTATTAATTTTAGCACAATATGCTTCCTTCCTAGGTATTGGAAGAGATTGAGATATCTTCAAATGAACCAGAAGAGAAAGAGCTAGATCTCCAGCTAGCACAAGGGAGAAATACAGATACCTTGTCACCTCTGCAGACAGAGTCAACTTCTGAATCTGAACCATCACAGGAGGTAGAGTTAGTACCTGAGCAACTTAAGGAAAGAGAAACAGCTCCAGAGTCACCACAGGAAAGAGAAACAGCTTCGGAGTCACCACAGGAAAGAGAAACAGCTTCGGAGTCACTACAGGGAATAGAGACCGCTCCACAGCCACCACAAGAAAAGGAGACCGCTCCAGAGTCACCACAGAGAATAGAGACAGCTCCAGAGCCACCACAGGAAATAGAGACAGTTCCAGAAAAATCACAGGAAAGAGAGACAACACAAGAGAGAGAGACTGTTCCAGAGCCCCTACAGGAAAGAGGGACAGTTTCAGAGCCACAACAGGAAAGAGATACAGCTCCAGAGCCTCCACAGGAAAGGGAGACTGCTACAGAGCTACTACAGGAAAGGAAGACTGCTACAGAGCTACTACAGGAAAGGGAGACAGCTCCAGAACCACCACAGGGAAGAGAGACAGTTCCAGAGCCTCATCAGGAAAGCGATACAGCTCCAGAGCCTCTGCAGGAAAGAGAGACTGCTACAGAGCTACCACAGGAAAGAGACACAGTTCCAGAGCCTCAATAGGAAAGAGAGACAGCTACAGAGCTATTACAGGAAAGGGAGACCGCTAAAGAGTTACTACAGGAACGGGAGACAGCTCCAGAACCCCCACAGGAAAGGGAGCCAGCTCCAGAGCCTCATCAGGAAAGAGAGACAACACAAGAGAGAGAGACTGTTCCAGAGCCCCTACAGGAAAGAGGGACAGCTCCAGAGCCACCACAGGAAACAGACACAGTTCCAGAGCCTCATCTGGAAAGCGATACAGCACCAGAGCCTCTGCAGGCAAGAGAGACTGCTACAGAGCTACTACAGGAAAGGGAGACAGCTCCAGAACTACCACAGGAAAGGGAGACAGCTACAGAGCTACTACAGGAAAGGGAAACAGCTCTAGAGCCACCACAGGAAAGAGACACAGTTCCAGAGCCTCAACAGGAAAGAGAGACAGCTCCAGAGCCTCCACAGGAAAGGGAGACCGCTAAAGAGTTACTACAGGAACGGGAGACAGCTCCAGAACCACCACAGGAAAGGGAGACTGCTACAGAGCTACTACAGGAAAGTGAGACAGCTCCAGAGCCACCACAGGAAAGAGACACAGTTCCAGAGCCTCAACAGGAAAGAGATACAGCTCCAGAGCCTCTGCAGGAAAGAGAGACTGCTACAGAGCTACTACAGGAAAGGGAGACAGCTCCAGAGCCACCACAGGAAAGGGAGACAGCTCCAGAGCCTCTGCAGGAAAGAGAGGCTGCTACAGAGCTACTACAGGAAAGGGAGACAGCTCCAGAGCCACCACAGGAAAGAGACACAGTTCCAGAGCCTCAACAGGAAAGAGATACAGCTCCAGAGTCTCCACAGGAAAGGGAGACCGCTAAAGAGTTACTACAGGAACGGGAGACAGTTACAGAGCTACTACAGGAAAGAGACACAGTTCCAGAGCCTCAACAGGACAGAGAGACAGCTCCAGAGCCTCCACAGGAAAGGGAGACCGCTAAAGAGTTATTACAGGAACGGGAGACAGCTCCAGAACCACCACAGGAAAGGGAGACAGCTACAGAGCTACTACAGGAAAGGGAGACAGCTCCAGAACCACCACAGGAAAGAGAGACAGTTCCAGAGCCTCATCAGGAAAGAGATATAGCTCCAGAGCCTCTGCAGGAAAGAGAGACTGCTACAGAGCTACTACAGGAAAGGGAGACAGCTCCAGAGTCACCACAGGAAAGAGACACAGTTCCAAAACCTCAACAGGAAAGAGATACAGCTCCAGAGCCTCCACAGGAAAGGGAGACCGCTAAAGAGTTACTACAGGAACGGGAGACAGTTACAGAGCTACTACAGGAAAGAAGTACAGCTCCAGAGCCTCCACAGGAAAGGGAGACCGCTAAAGAGTTACTACAGGAAAGGGAGACAGCTCCAGAGCCAACACAGGAAAGGGAGACAGTTTCAGAGCCTCCACAGGAAAGAGAGACCGCTACAGAGTTACTACAGGAAAGGGAGACAGCTTCAGAGCTACTACAGGAAAGGGAGACAGCTCCAGAGCCACTACAGGAAATGGAGACAGCTTCAGAGCCACCACAGGAAAGGGGGACAGCTTCAGAGCCACCACAGGAGAGGGAGACCGCTTGTGAGCTACTACAGGAAAGGGGGACACTTCCAGAGCCACTACAGGAAAGGGAGACAGCTTCAGAGTCACCACAGGAAAGGGAGACAGCTTCAGAGCCACCACAGGAAAGGGAGACAGCTTCAGAGCCACCACAGGAAAGGGAGACCGCTTGTGAGCTACTACAGGAAAGGGGGACACTTCCAGAGCCACAACAGGAAAGGGAGACAGCTTCAGAGTCACCACAGGAAAGGGAGACAGCTTCAGAGCGTCCACAGGAAAGAGAGACCGCTCCATGGCCACCACAGGAAAGAAGGGTAGCTTCAGAGTCATTGCAGATGGAGGAGACACTGGTGAGTAATAGTTCAAAATGATTTGGCAATTTAAAGTGAGCCATCATATGAAATGACATTGAAAGTACTTGTAATAATGAACTTAACACAGTATAATTTCTCCCTAGGCATCAACTGAGATGGATACATCTTCCGAGGTATCGGGGGAGATCGAGCTAGATCTGCAGCCAGCACAGGAGATCGAGGCCGTACCTGAGAAGGGCCATACTATGTCAAGGTAATTGCTGTGGTTTGTTAGTGAATGGGAATGTGTGCATTAACAAAGAAGTCTTCATATTGATTCAGTTGTACAGGGGTGTCAGCGTTTCAGTTGACAAACGGAGTGGAATGAAAACGCAATGAAAACGCTACGAGAACGAAATGAAAACGGTATGAAACAAGGCCAAAACGGAATGGAACGAAAATAATTTCACTGTTTGGAACGAAACGCGAATAGAACGGAACGAAACGTGTTTTGCTCACAGGAACGGAATGGATTGAAAGTAGGTGGAACGAAACGCGAGGAATGATTGAAAACGAAATGGAATAAAACGATCTGAGAAGATAACTATTTTAATCGAGATTTCCTATCTATAGTGGCTAGTTACGATAAATTAGCAGTAGATAATAATGTTTAGTAAATAATTACAAATTTTCATATTCGTTTATCGACTGTAGTATACGTATTTATTCCATATCTTAGGTTTCTAGACGATATCAGAGACACA